GCTCCTGTCTCTCGCCTGAGCTTTACTATCACATCAATAACTGCCTACACGACATTCAAACTGGATATCCCAGATATATCTCAACTACATGTTTAAAACTGAATTATCTTTTCACTAAATCTTCCCTTCTTTGCAATTTCCCTATTTCTGTTGAAGGTACCATTATTCATCCAATGTCTTAAGATTTGTTACCTCAGCATTATCCTTGACTCTTTGTTCTGCCTCAACCTACATATCCAATCTTTTGCCAAATCTTGCTGTTTCTACCTTCACAAAGTATCTCATGTCCAATCCCTTCTCAAGCTTTTATCATCACTTGCCTAGATTATTGTCAAGTCTCTTACCTGGCCTCCCGCCTCAAGTTTCTTGCCACACCAGTCCTCTGTACACGTTACTTCCAAAGTAAAGATTCTTAAACACAGATCTGATATGTCTCACTCTCTCTTTCTCCCCCAAGTGGCTTCCTATTGTCTACATAACAAAATACAAACATTTCTCATTAGCCCTACACAACATGGCAACAATCTACCTTTCTGGCCTCATTAGACATTACTCCTCTGCACACGTGGTGAAGTCCAATGAAAGAGACCTTTTCTCTCTTGCTCACTTGTTCTCTTGTGTAGATACCTTGCATTGGCCATACCCCATGCTGAGAATGCAGTCCCTTCTTAGTAGACCTCACAGAACTCTCTTCCTCTAAGATGAAGTTAAGGTACCATATTTTGTACAAACCTTTTCCTGATCTACCCCTACTGTTAACAACCTTCCTCCCAAACTACACTGTATTTAATTACTTCATGCGTGTTCATATATATTAATTTTATATTTATACCATATTTTTATATGTACTTGTTATCTTCCCCTTCCCCTCAACCCTGCCCCATTATAATGTAACCTCATTACAAGTACAGATTGTTTCATCCTTTTGTATTTGTCTACCCAGCACCTACCAATAATGTCTGGCATCTCATATGCACTTAATAAATACTTATTGATTATTTGATTGCAACTAAGCAGAATCACAAGCACAAGAGTGGTAGGGAAAGAGTACCAAAGCCAAGTTCAAATTTTATTCCTGCTAGAATGTCCCAGTGCCAAGTACCACTATTTGTTAGCAAAAGAACAAGACAATGAGCTTATTGCTGTTTAATCATTACATATTCAGTAATCATTTACTACATATCATTTATCAACATACAATGTGCAAAGATGAAAATAAAATAGGCCTCTCCTCAACCTACTTAATCTTCTTCGGAAAATAGCACATACGCAGACAGTACGAAAGAGATAGATAGCAATTTGGCAGAGGAAACATTAGCAACTGGTTAGGGGTGGGAAGGAAAGAAGGGAAGTGGTGTGCAGGACTAAAAAGAGTCTCATTTAGGAAATAATTTTTAATTTCTGAATATGACGAAATTAAGATGATATTTTGTTTCCTAGTATTATCCCAGCCACACAAACTACCACAGGCTTACAACGGATGTTATAAACAAGAATCTTTAAAAAAAAAAATGAAATATAAAGCAAAAGTAATATTGTTGAGACTCCTAAGGTTAACTATCAGATCTAGTAGTACTGTTAAAATATAAATTAATAACAAGGAGTGGTGAGCATTTTGGAAATAAAGATTTTTCCAAATTTATAATTCAATACCTAATCACAAGCAGCAGCATAACAGGATAAATAACAATATGACCTAAGAAACAGGAAGACCTGGGTTCAAGATCCTGACACATATGATGGCTTATGTAACTACTGACAAATTACATTACCTCTCAGTATCTAGATAACTCTCGAAAACTATATATTGGAGAGACAGTACCAACCTCCACGAGCAGAGAATATTTCTTTATCTAAAAGTTCCCTATACCAATATAATCAAAAGTCTAGTTCTTATCCCTCTGCATAAATGAGTCATAGAACTCTGTATTTTAAAGATATTTTTTCATGTCATGTATAATTGATATACAATAAATATTTTTAACTGAATAAAGGTACAGTGTTATGAAGAATGGTAAAGCGAAGAAAGTAGTCAGTCCTTCAAAAAATACTACACTTTTGGAAAAGCTGGCACAAAGGAAAGCACTGATAATCCAGAGTTTATATAGTCATTTAGTGTTCAGAATTTTTCATCTGAACTACAAGGGATGTTTCAATTAAAATAAATGTTTTAATAGGGTTAAGGGGTGTCTATTGTCCCAAACAATACACAAAAATCTCATTTAAAAAAACTGTAAACCTACTGGGGCCAGGTGGGGTGGGGGAGACACTAGAAGAAGATTAATGCTTTTTATCAGGTTTTCTCCAAGGACAACCTAAAGATTATTAGGGAAATGTCTCCCTCTGCTGCTCAAAATAGAGACCATTCTTCCAAAATAAAGGCTTTTAAAGGGGAGATAAAACATTTAATGAATCTGAAGAGCCTGAAGGCTTTATTCACTTCATCATTATTTATTAAGACAAACTCAAAAGAGACCCCAAGTAAAACAGGTATTTCTCTTTTGAGTTTCAGGAAAATATTCTAAGAAGAAAGGACCTATTAAATAATTAAACTGTATTTTAAAGACAACACTACCAATGATTTTTGAAACAAATTTTGGTTAAGTTGTCTTCTTATCCTTTTATTCTAATTCCATTTCCCTATACATGAGTATATCTCAATTACTTTTTTTCCCCTTTTTTAGAAAAAAAGTATTTTTTATTTTCTTTCTTTCTCAATCACACGTAAAAACAATTTTTGACATTCATTTTTTAAAACTTTTGAGTTCCAAATTCCCTCCTTCCCTCTTACCATCCTATGTGAGAAGTCAAGCTGTGGTTGTTGCTGTTATTTGTTCTTTGTTTTTCGAAAATGACATCATCAATGACATCACAGATGAAATTGTGCATGAACTGGATTTAAGTGAGGCAGAGTTGTACCACACTGTCAACCTCACTTTCTCTCCTTGAGTCAAAGAAGTACAGTGGGAAGACAAAAAGTCAGGACCACTGGAATGATCCAGGATACAGTGAATTACTGCAATATCTTCCATGTTTGACCAAGATCTAAGCACTCCATAGAACCTACTTCAGCTGTAGGCCAGGGAAAGTCTTCTTTGCTTGGAGTTGACATCCTCCTAATTCACTAACAGGTTTGAGGCTTATCCTAGTTTTAGCCTGTCAGCAGAGACAGTTTACTGGGGTGTGGTCACTGAGCATACTATAACTTCTTGGAGCCACAGATGAGTGAATGAATCAGGTGGACATCAAAGGTAGATAAGCAGCCCTCACCTCCACAGGTGCTAAACCCCAGAAGGCAAGCACTTTGATACAGATTATATATGTGTAATCAAGTAAAACACATTTCCATATTCACTTCAATTACTTTTTTTAAAAACTGGGATTTTTTAAAAATGCATTTTATTTTAATGTCTTTTGTCTTTATAACTATCATTTTTGGAAGACGAAAAAACCCTCTCCTTCCAGAGTGATCCCTTCTATGAATAAAAAATTAAAAACAATCAATAAAATGACTACACCTGAAAATGCATATAATTATTCTATCCCTGTGAACTCTTGACTCTTTGCCCTTTTTCTCTTGAATCTCCAGGGTGGTTCTGATTCATCAGCCTCAATCAAGTATGACGGTATGACATTTGGGCTATCCCCTCTTCCAATATTCCTCGCTCTTACTAAATGACCAGGCTACTTATTCCAGAATGATGCCATTCTGATGTCTCAGAATCTCAGAGCTGAAAAGAAATTGAGGCCACCTAATATAAATAAGCAGTAACTAAGTAAAAATCTACTCTCTAGCATTCCCAGAAAGTCATCGTCCAAACTTTACTTAAAATCTTCCAGGGAGAGGAACCCACCACCTCATAAGAAAGCTCATTTTACTCTTGGGTTTTTAACTTCTGTGAAGTATTTTTCTCACCTCATGCTCAAATCTGCATCTCTACAAACTCCACCCACTACCTCTAAGTGACCCCTCTGGGACCAAGTAAAAGTCATTTATTCAACCTTATGTGTAAATTATTTTTGGTAATATGCTGAAACCAGTTTATACCAATTATGTATCTTTTGTTGCCTCTGAAAGTAAACTGAAATTTTGATTCTTCTGAGAACTTAGTGATCTATGACAGTGGCATTCAATAAATATCATTGACATAATATTGTTTAGAGAAGGTTGGAGCAAAAAACACAGGTTTTAGTAGTAAGGGTCATCGAAAAACATAACATCATTTCCCAAACACAATCAATCCACTTTACTTTCTGTTCAATTCTTGTTTTAATTCATGATGCATCTGCAGTACCAGGCCAAGATACATAAACCAATGTAGTAATTTAAGAGGCTGCCCATCCCACTACATATACATAAAAAAGAGAATCTTTACCCAATGGGGGGGGGGGGGTGTTGGGTATGTGTGTGTGAATTGCTAAGATGATCTCTTTTGCATGGCCCTATAATATCCCAGGGCTTGAGGTGATCAGCAGGATGATGTTGCAAAGAAGAAAATTTGGTGAACTCCACCACCTATAGAGAATTCCTCTTCCATTTGGATTGTGCACAGTATAATCTCTATGCCACTGGCCAACATCATCTGGGGAAAGCATTGCTCCAGACTGCTATCTAAAAAGACTATTAGTTTGCAATGAAAAGGATGACTATTTCTCCACAACTCTGTAAGCAATGTTTTTTTATTACTTTTAATTATTTCTGTCAATTTGGTAGCTATATCTTGAGGTTTAGCATTTTCTTTCAGTGCTTCCTGACAATTGGCATTTCTCCTTTGTAAACTGTCTATATTCTTATCTACAGTATAGCTTTCAAATCCAAAGACAGTAAAGTGTTGTCAATTATATTTTGGCTAGTTTTATAAGCTTACCATTTCAGTTGTAATTTAAAATAATATTCTTACCTTTTCATACTGAAGAAAACAACTCACCATCTTCATTAAATAATAAAATAAGGACTCAACTGATAGATAGAAGCTTGTTTCATGGCAAGTCTTTCTTACCTTCTTAAAGAATGTCGCAGGTGCCATTTCAGCTCCATTTAATGTTCTTAAGAGAAACATTGGCCAAGATGATGCATTCATCTGAAATCCTATTTAAGTTAAAAAACAAAGCTTTAATAAAAAAATTACAGTATGGGATTTTTCAACAAGTTTAGAAAAGTAACTGAAGTGTCTTTAATAAGGATGCTTCACCATCATTCTTGGAAGTATAAATATCCGAGGGAATGAAAGTATTATGTTGATGCTCATATTATACAGGTGCAATGATCTATGACTATGGTGAAAACAAATAATAAAACCCATTCTTTTTTTTTAATGGTAATTTTTATTTATTTTTTTGTTTTCAGCATTTACTTCCACAAGATTTTGAGTTCCAAATTTTCACCCCATCTCGCCCCTCCCCCCACCCCAAGAAGGCATACATTCTAAATACCCCTTCCCCTAGTCTGCCTTCCCTTCTCTCTCTCCTCCCCTTCTCTTATCCCCTTCCCCTTCTATTTTCCTGTAGGACACGATGGATTTCTGTACCCCATTTCCTGTATTTCTTATTTCCCAGTTGCATGTGAAAACATTGTTTTTAAACATGTGTTTTTAAAACTTTGAGTTCCAAATTTTCTCCCTTCCTCCCTCCCCATCCACCCTCACTGATAAGGCAACTATAGGTTATACGTGTGCAGTTATGCAAAACACTTCCATAGTAGACATGCTGTGAAAAACTAACTCTATTTCCCTTAATCCTATCCCACCCACCCATTTATTCTATTCTTTCTTTTGACCCTGTCCCTCCTCAGAAGTATTTGCTTCTGATTACTCCCTTTCCCAATCTGCTCTCCTCTCTATCATTCCCCTACTCTCTTGTCCCCTTCCCTCCCTATTTTCCTGTAGGGTAAGACAGATTTCCACACCCAATTCAGTATGTATGTTATTCCTTCCTTAAGTCAAATCCTATGAGAATAAGATTCACTCATTCCCTCTCATCTTCCCCCAGTTCCCCTCCACTGTAAGAGCCTTTTCTTTTCTGTTGTTTTGGTTTTTTTTGTGTGATAATTTACCCCATTCTACCTCTCCCTTTCTCCTTCTCCTAGTATATTCCTCTCTCACCCCTTAATTTTATTCTCCAGATATGACCCCTTCATTTTCAACTCACCCTGTGCCCTCTATTGATCTATATCTATATACACATATATATAATTTTTTCCCCTCCAACTACCCTAATACTGACAAAGGTCTCATGAGTTACAAATACCATCTTTTCATGCAGGAACGTAAACAGTTCAACCTTAATAAGTCTCCTTTCTCTTTCCTGTTTACCTCTTCATGTTCCACTGGAGTCTTGTATTTGAAAATCAAATTTTCTATTCAACTCTGGTCTTTTCATCAAGAATGCTTCAAAGTCCTCTATTCCACTGAATGACCATTTTTTCCCCTGCAGGATTATACTCAGTTTTGCTGGGTAGGTGATTCTTGGTTGTAATCCTGTCTCTTTTGCTCTCCGGAATATTATATTCCATGCCCTGCGGTCCCTTAATGTAGAAGCAGCTAATTCTTGTGTTATCCTGATTGTGTTTCCACAATACTTGAATTGTTTCTTTCTGGCTGCTTGTAATATTTTCTCCTTGATCTGGGAACTCTGGAATTTGGCTACAATATTCCTAGGAATCTTCCTTTGGGGATCTCTTTCAGGAGGAGATTAGTGGATTCTTTCCATTTCTATTTTCCCCTCTGGTTCTAAAATATCAGGACAGTTTTCCTTGATCATTTCTTGAAAGATGCTGTCTAGGCTCTTTTTTTGATCATGGCTTTCAGATAGTCCAATAATTTTTAAATTCTCTCTCCTGGATCTATTTTCCAGGTCAGTTGTTTTTCCAATGAGATATTTCACATTGTTTTCTAATTTTTCAATCTTTTGGATTTGTATTACAATGTCTTGATTTCTCATAAAGTCACTAGCTTCCAATTGCTCTATTCTAATTTTTAAGGAAATATTTTCTTCAGCAAGCTTTTGGACTTCCTTTTCCATTTGGCCAATTGTGCTTTTTAGGGCATTCTTCTCCTCATTGGCTTTTTGGATCTCTTTTGCCATTTGGGTTAGGCTATTTTTTAAGGTGTTATTTTCTTCAGTATTTTTTGGGTCTCCTTTAGCAAGCTGTTGACTTGTTTTTCATGATTTTCTTGCATCACTCTCAGTTTTTCCTCTACTTCTCTTATTTGCTTCTCAAAATCCCTTTTGAGCTCTTCCAAGGCCTGGGACTGATTCATATTTTTCTTGGAGGCCTTGGATGTAGGAGCTTTGGCTTTGTTGTCTTCTTCTGGTTGTATGTTTTGATCTTCTTTGTCACCAAAGTAAGATAATATAGTCTGACTCTTTTTGCACTGCTTACTTATGATCCCGGCCAATTACTTGAGTTTTAAACTCTTTGTTAAGGTAAAAGTCTGCTTCCAATGTGAAGAGTATACTGTCCCAAGCTTCAGGGGTTTGTACAGGTGTTTTCAGAGGTACTACTAGGGACCTGTAAATTTTCAGTTCTTCCAAGGTGCTATGATAAGAAGCAAGGTGTTTTCTCTCCACGGCCACAACAAGCTCCACCAGGCCAGCGCTCCTCCTTGCCCCAGGACCGCCCCTCAGAACTGTGACCCAGATCCAAGCACAGGTAAAGCAAGAGATTCCTGCCTCAGCACTGGCAAAGAGATCCTTGCAATCCCCCTTTTATCAGCCACTGCATTCCCCCTCGGTCTGTGGGCCGGAAGCTCAGGAAAAAGCCCTGGCCCCTGGCCTCGCTTGAGACTTGCAGCTGAGACCTAGCTCCTCTCTCACTGCAGTAACAGACTTTTCCCACTGACGTTCTAAGTTGTCTCTGGCGTTCAGGGGTTGAGAAGTCTGGAAACTGCCACAGCTGCCCGCAATTCAGTCCTCTGAGGCCTGCTCCAGGGTCTCAGAGGCCTGCGCGCCCATGCCACACTGCGCTCCTCTCCCCGCCTGGCGCGATATACCTTTCTGATCAGCCATCCAGGCTGTCTTTGGCTGGAAATTTGTTTCACTGTGTCTTTGTGTGGGTTTTGCTGCTTTAGAATTTGTTTAGAGCCATTTTTTTAGGTATTTTTCAGGAGGGCTCTGGGAGAGAGCTCAAGACAGTCACTGCTTTCCCTCCGCCATCTTGACTCTGCCCCCCCCATCCCAATAAAAGCCATTCTTTAGAGTCAAGTTGAACTACAAGGCTGATGAGATACTAAATGCAGGCTCTGTGTCCTACTCCTCCTAAAGAACAACTTCCACACTCTCCTACCCCCAAACCTCTAACAGCTGCAATAGGGGATTAACAGTAAAAGTAACAGCTGTGTAAAGGCATTTTTTATTACTTTCTGCACTATCAGGATCTCCATCATTCTCTTTGTCCTAACCTAATTGCCTGTGGTTTGCTCTCCTCTGAGGAAAAATCTATTCCAATTCTAGCAACTTCTTCTTCAATGGCCTCTAAAGGTGATCAGCTACTTTTAGAATCAATACCAGATGCTAGCCATAAAAGATTTAACAGGTGCTCCTCTTTTTCTTTTTTCTTAAAGACTGGGTGGCCTTCTGTCACCCAGGATGGAAGTGGAGATGTTATTCATGGTCCTAATCCCACTACTGATGAGCTCCATTTCCCACCTTAGGCCACTTGATAGCCAGTGAAGACACCCACCCAAAGGCAAGGTTCCTGAGCTCAAGTGACACACAAGCCTTAGCCTCCTAGCACCTGGAAATACAGGTGTGAAACATCATGCTCATTCTTTCTTAGCAAGATCTCAAACGGCACAGGCTCAATAGCTTCTGTTGTTTTTTAGAGATGATGAGTTTCCCCTTGGCAGCTGCTCATCTTAACGACCAAATTGAGAAGTGTTTTGTATACTGTACAACAGCTCAGTGCCTGCACTAACAGAGGTAGGCAGGTGAAACACTTATAATAAATAAGTGAATCTGGAGGGCCAAAAAAAAAATTCATAAAATTATCAAAGAGAAAACTATTTAAGAAATAATGTTTTACCAAAATTTGCTTTGGGAAAGTGGGGTGGGAATATATTTATGAAAGATAGGTGAAAGGAACATGTGACTTAAACACACAGATTTCTAATCAAGAGGTATTTATCTGAATAGCATCATAGATATGAAAAACAATGTACACACACACCTTAGTTTGCTCTAATTTCTCACTTGGTCAACAATTTTAATTTATTGATTTGTGCTTATTTCTTCCCCTTCTACCTTTTATTATCTCAATGTAACACTGAAAAAATTAAATAGTCCTTTACTATTGGTTTCAGTGGAACTGAAATTTAACTACGTAGAGGAACCAAAGTGATAAAAATTAAATATGGAAAAAAATAAAAATTAAACATGAAAGTGAAGTATTCTAGTAAATATAATCCTTCAACATTCAGGGCAGATACATACATACAGGGATCACATATTTTAAAAATTAACAGAAACATTCACTGAACTGTGGTGGGAATACTGAATTGTCACTATAAAAAGCAACATATTTTAAATCTAGATGATTACAAGAAACATGAGTTTATACTAAGTGCCTAGTACATAGAGTACACTCAATAAATACAATAGATTGGTTCAAAACCTAAACTAGGAAATTAAATGCATTAAGACCACATTCAGCTGCAACTTTATATTTATATTTCTTACAGAGCCTTTTACAACTGAGTGTTCTTTATGAAAATATAATATAAACATGAGAAAAGGAGCCCAAAAGATGAACAAATTTTTAAAAACAATGAGAATATAAAGTCTAATAGTGTATTTACCACTCCAGTAAGAAAAATGAATATTTACCTCTGAATAGGGAAACTCCCAGAATAGGAAAGCAACAAAAAGAGAGGTATACTCACTCTACCCTTAAGTTAACCAGAAACAAAACTAAAACTAACCACTAAATATATTCTGCAGTAAAGTAAGTGGAGCTAACAATGCAGCAAAAGTAATGGAAGGAGATACAAGATTTTAATAGAAACATTTATCCATCTCAAACTTAAAATTTTAGAAAAATTGGAATGAGAGAGAACTTATTGCCTGTTCTTACCTGACTTCCAACCTTGCAAACAATTATCAAGTAAAATCCAAGAGCATTTCATTTGTCCCAGGTTACGTATGACTATTTAAAGAAATGAATTCACCAATATTTTCTAGTATATAGTCCACCTTTCAAACTTCTTTTAATAATAATGGCTGTTAACATTTACATTATTATTTCATAGTTTACAAAGCACTTTCCTCACAACAATTCATGAGGTAGATAATGCAATTATTATTATCTCTATTTCATAGTAGAAAGCCAAGTCACACAGCTCGTATACATGAGAGAAGATCTAAACCCAGTGTTATTCAAGTCCAGTGCTATTTCTACTACCAACACTGTCTGTCTCTCCATTTAGAAAGGAATTTTCCTCCCCAAATTGGGGCAGATTCATAAAACTAAGGGCACATTTTATATTTCAAAATGATTTGGTTAAAGCTAATGCAACATCTGTTCCTCCCTCAATGGCTTCTCATAAATCTGTAAGAATGGGCCTTCTAACTCTCAGTAACATTGCTCCTTCAAGTGCTTAAGTTCTTGTGTGTAAAAGTGAAGGCTGGTAACAGTCACCACCTTTCTCCCATGCTCTCAAACATATCCAACCTCTCAATACCAGCTGGTTCTGACTTGCAGTAAATTTTAATGGACAATAGGGAATAATAGTAGAGTCCACCCGTTTCCTCCAGGGAGCTATCTGATTCTGGTACATGCCTGCAGATTTACTTACAGCAATGTGGGTACAAAATTGATAAATGGGTTTTGTCCTTGAATTGGTGAACATACATATATAATTCAAGAATTAATATTTCCATTGATGTGGGAATTCTAACAGATTGTAAATCTTTCTACATCTTAAGCCCTTCTATACCTTAAGAGTTCATTTACCAGAGATGCTGTACCCCAGTCCCCCAAAAAAAGTTATGAACAATTGGGCAACCTGATGATGAGCCTTTCTCAACTTAGCTAAGCTATTCTTTCGATGACAAACAAAAAGTTTGCCACTAGGCTCAGAAACCTTTTCAAATTAGTAATAGTTGCCTGAAACACCCTAGAGGCATATGCATGCCACAATAAACTGCTTGAGTAACAGGAAACACAGAGACATCAAATTTCAGAGCTTCAATATTGAATTTAACTCCATAATATACAGTATTCTGCTATCTATCATCATTCACCTTTTCCTCATACAAAATGAGTACTTAATTGTAAAGCTTCCAAGGGATACTGTAGAGATGAAAAATGAAGATCACTCCCATATTTGAGGATCAAACTAACAGGAACATAGTGAAACATTTTCTCCTTACCCAGAGGAGGCTGAAGCATGCCTCCTTTTTTTTCACAAGTTCCAATAGGCTGTATGTCTGAAGAATCTACAAGTCTCCAAAAGTCATTTTTATTGTCACTGCCATCCAGTCGCAATCGTAATCTGGCACCAGTAATTCCAATAACTGTGGCAATACAGACAGAAGTGACATTCCGTGGGTCACGTGCTTCCAATTTCATGCCAACTTTGAAATCATTAGTAGGTGGAATCTTAGACTGTATTAAAAAAAAAAAGATGTATTTATTAAAAAGTACATACTAGACAGGGAAAAAATATAATTTATCCCCACACTGCTTAGGCACATTTTTAATAATACAGCTTTAATTACGTACAGATAAGAATAAACAAAACCAGAAAGTCGCTAGAAGAAAAGGTTGCCCAAGGCCACTTCAACAAATATGACAATATTTCGATCTACAACAATTTGCTTTTCCATGCACTGGTCACTCAAAGACATGAACACTGTCCCTCTATTGGCTGTCATCTTAAAACTCTTTAAGTTAGTCATTTTAGACTGATTGGACAACATGGTCCTGATCAGAGTCATTCTGAATGCCAAGTTAATGATGCTAGCTATGGCACATACTTTATCCAAGCCCTCTGGTATTGAAAATATTGCCAATAAATAGCAAAAACATTGTCATTTATTGGGTGACTTGTCTATCACGATCCTACTGCCACCAAGAAAAGTCACATTACCAGAAACTGTTACTAAGAGTGGTTCCTCTCCTAAAATAGAGAAAGCTTTTCAGGATAGTTAATAACATACTAACTCTATGAAATTTCTTAGGTGTACACTACATAAAAGATTTTTACGACAGTATACTACCTGTCTGAAACACTGTGATGGAGCAGCTAAAGATCCAGTCTCTCTCAAGTAACTGTCCCAGTTAAAATGTTCTAGAAAGAAAGTAAAAATTATTTAGGATAATACTTTAACAACTTTCTAAAATAAAACATATACAAAGTGTTTAACTAAAATATATAACAACCACTCTTTCTTAATATCTTCTCAGCTCCTATTCTGATGCCTCATGCCAGCAGAACATAAAACACTAGCAGATCCTACCAAGACAACTGTTAGAATATCCCCAATACTGGTTTAAAAAAAAAAAAAACTTCTTTACATTTAGATGAACTAATGAAAAGTGAATTGAGCAGAACCAGGAGAACACTACACACAGTAATAGCAATATTATAATGATAATTATCTGTGAAAGACTTATCTAACACAATCAATACAACGATCTATGACAATTCCACAAGATCCATGATGAAAAATGCTATCCATCTGCAGAAAACTGATGGACTCTGAGTACAGATTGCAGCAGACTTTTTTTTCTCACTTTATTTGGAAATGTTTTGTATTACTTCGCATATATAATGGGTATCACATTTATTACCTTCTTAATGGATATGGGAGGAATAAAGTTTGGAACTGAAAATTAAAATGAAAAATAAAATAAATAAAAGAATTATCCCCAATGTTCAAATGACAGGAACAAGTAGTTTTAAAGGGAAGAAACCCAAGTTATCAACAGTCATATGAAAAAATGCTTTAAAACATTAATAATTAAAGAAACAAAAATTAAAAGCAATTCTGAGTTTCTACCTCATGCCTACCAGACTGGCAAAGTTGACAAAAACGGAACATGACAATGTAGGAGAGGCTGCAGGAAAACAGATAAATTAATTCACAGTTTCTGAAGCTATAAACTGCTACAGGCACTCTGGAAATTTGGTACTATGACCTAAAAGTTATTGAACTGTGCATACTCTCTAACCCAGTATGAACCAGAAACCTCTATTAGACCTGTACCCCAAAGTGATCAAGAAAAGAGAAAGGATGCAAATACAAAAAATATAGCAGCTTTTCTTCCCCAGTGGCTAAGAAATGTAAACTAAGAGGGTGCCCATTAATTGGGGAATAGCTGAACAAAGTATCAATGTAATGAAATAAGACTGTGACTTATTAAGAAATGATAAAAAGGATGGTTTTAGAGAAACCTGAGATGATTTGGGTGAAGCAAACAAAGCCAGGAGAACAATTTATATCATAACAACAATACTGTACAAAAATGAACAATTTTAAGACTTAAGATTTCTGATCAATGCAATAGCCAACTTTGATTTGATTCCAGATAACGATGAATACCACGTACCTCTTAACAGAACAGAAAAATGATGGACCAGATAAGAAGAGTAAGACATTTGGAGGCATGACCAGTGTATGAATCTGTTTTACCTGACGATGCACATTTGTTACAATAGTTGCAGTATTCTTTTTACTCTGAAGGCAGTTAAATGTCATAATCAAACAAAAAAAAATTCTTCAAACTACGCATCAGTGAATCTGGCTTCTGTTCAAATTGCAGAATGTATTTCTGAATCATATTAAAGGGAGAGACAGTGGCATAACAGGAAAATCCTCAGCCTCGTAATTAGGAAGTGTTGGCTTCAATCAGGCCTCCGACACATGATGATTATATGACCCTGAATTATCTTCTCATTACCCTACATTACTCTCTGAGACTATAAATTGGAGAGCTGTTGACCATCTGTATCAATAAGGAAGTTTCCACACTGGCAGGTTCACTCTAATAGTGAAATCACAGGTCCTGTCCAAATACCTCCCAAATCCAAAAAACTTGAACGATTTATGAACATTTTAAAAAGAAGTAGTTATCATTAATCATCACCAAGACATCATCAAGAACAAGCCAAACCAGACCAACTTCATTTTCCTTCTGACAAGATTACAAAGTTGGCTGATCAGGGGAATGTCATAGATAATATAACTAGATTTCAGAAGGGCATTTGATAAAAGCTCTCCTGACATTCCTACAGAAAAGATGTAGAGAAATAGGCTAGATTATATGTTAGGTGGATTCAGAACTGGTTGAATGACCAAAGACAAAGTATTCTCTTTAGTGAGTCAATGTCAATTTTGAAGGAGGGCCACGGGACTCTGGATTTGTGCTAATTCACTATTTTTATCGATGACTTGAAAGAAGGCATATATCAATCTATGAACAAACATTTAGCTCTTATTACATACCAAGCACTGTCCTGGGTGTTGAGGATAGAAATACAATGAACTGATAAATATCCCTGCTGGCAAGAAGTTTAAATGCTATTTTAGAAGATAAGTACATATTTATGTATATATAGAAAATAAAGAGTAAATACAAAGTTGTTCAATAAAAAGAAGTTTGGAAAGTAGGATACTACCAATTGGGGAGATGAGGAAAGGATTCAATGGAAAATGATGCTTGAGTTGCATCTTGAAGGAAGAGAGGAATTTTATGCTAAAGATGGAGGTGAGAGGGGAATGCATTGTACTCGTGAAGAACAGCTAGTTCAAATGCATAGATTTGGGCAGATGGAGTACCATGTGTAAGAAATGGAGAATATTTAGGAGTTTACCTGCCGAAACAAACCCAGAAACTATATGAACACAATTACAAAACACTTTTCACACAAATAAAGTCAGATCTAAATAACTGGGAAAATATCAGTTGCTCAAGGGCAATGACAATTCTACCTAAGCTAATTTACTTATTCAGTGCCATACCAATCAAACCATGAATAAATTATTTTATAGAGTTAGAAAAAATAATAAAAAGATTCATTTGGAGTAACAAAAAGTCCAGAATCTCAAGGGAACTAATGAAAAGAAATACAGGGGAAGGTGACCTAGCCATTCCAGATCTTAAATTGTATTATAAAGCAGCAATCATCAAAACTGCTTGGTACTGGCTAAGAAACAGAGTGGTGGATCAGTGGAATAGGTTAAGTAAGCAAAACACAGTAGTCAATGACTATAGTAATCTATTACTTGAAAAACCCAAAGACCCCAGCTTCTGGGATAAGAACTCACTCTTTGACAAAAACTGCTGGGAAAACTGGAAAAGAGTACAGCAGAAACTAGGCATAGATCAAAATCTCACACCATATACCAAAATAAAGTCAAAATGGGTTCATGATTTAAATATAAAGGCTGATACTGTAAGCAAACTGGGAGAGCAAGAAATAGTTTACCTATCAGATTTATGCAGAACAAAAGAATCCATGACCAAACAGGAGTCAGAGAACAATATGAAATGTAAAATGGATAACTTTGATTACATTAAATTGAAAAGTTTTTGCACAAGCAAAGGCAATGCAACCAAGATTAGAAGGAAAGTCGAAAATTGGGAAAGAATTTTTACAACCAGTCTCTCTGATAAGGGCCTCATTTCTAAAATATATAGAGAATTAAGTCAAATTTATAAGAATACAAGTCATTCCCTAATTGATAAATGGTCAAAGGATATGAACAGGCAGTTCTCAGAAGAAATTAAAGCCATCTACACTCATTTAAAAAAAATGCTCTAAATCATGATTAATTAGAGAAATGCAAATCAAAACAACTCTGAGGTACCACATCACACCTATCAGACTGGTCAACATGACAAAACAGGAAAATGATAAATGTTGGAGAAGATGTGGGAAAATTAGAACACTAATGCATTGCCGGTGGAGTTGTGAAATGATCCAACCATTTTGGAGAGCAATTTGGAACTATGCCCAAAGGGCTATGAAAATGTGCATACCCTTTGACCCAGCAATAGCACTTTCAGGGCTATATCCCAAAGAGATCATACAAATGGGAGAAATACCCACACATACAAAAATATTTATAGTGGTTCTTTTTGTGGTGGCCAAGAATTAGAAACCGAGGGGATGCCCATCAATTGGGGAATGACTGAACAAGCTGTATGAATCTAATAGAATACTATTGTACTGTAAGAAATGATGAGCAGGCAGACTTCAGAAAAACCTGGAAAGACTTGTATGGTCTGATGCTAAGTGAAGTAAGCAGAACCAGGGGAACATTGTACACAGTAACAGCCATGTTGTGCAATGACTAATATTGATAGACTTAACCCTTCTCAGCAATACAAGGATCTAAGACATCTCCAAAGGCCTCATGACGGAAAATGCTATCCACATCCAAAGAAAGAACTATGGAGTTTGAATGCAGATCGAAGCAGAGTGGAAGGAGAGATTAGAAAAACAGTGGTCCCTTCAAAAGAAATAAGGAAACAAAGATCTAAGCTTTTGGATTAAGAAGTCAACATTTCACAAAGACTGCTGGGAAAACAAAAGCGGTTTGGCTTTTAGTTTGGTAGAAACTAAGCATACACTAACAGTCACATCAAATACCAAGATAAGGTCAAAATGGATTAATGATTTAGACATAAAGGATGATAGAAGTAAATTAGGAGAACATGGAAAAACATAACTGTCACATTTATGGATAAGGGAAGAGTTTATGTCCAAACAAGAGATAGAGGGGATTACAGAAAGTAAAATAGGTCATTTTGATTACATGAAATTAAAAAGCTTTTGCACAAGCAAAACCAAAGCAGCCAAAGTTAGAAGGAAAACAGGAAATGGAGGGAAACTTTTATAGCAAGTTTCTCTGATAAAGGCCTCATTTTTCAAATATATAGGGAACTGAATCAAATCTATAAAAATAAGAGCCATTCCCCAGCGAATAAATGGTTAGAGGCTATGAACAAGCAGTTTTCAGAAGAAATAAAAGCTATATTTAGACATATGAACAAATGCTCTAAATCACTAACGATTAGAGAAATGCAAATTAAAACAACTCTGAGATACCACCTCATACCTATCAGACTGACATGACAGAAAAGAAAAATGACAAATGTTTGAGGGGATATGGTAAAATTAGGAAACTAATGCACTGTCGGTGGAGTTGTGAACTAGTCAGTTCAATCATTCTGGAGAACAATTTGTAAAACTGCACACCCTCTGACCCAGCAATACCACTACTAGGTCTGTATCCCAAAGGGAGCAAAGAAAATGGAAAAGAATCTATCTATACAAAAATA